GGTGACAGGTTCTTAGTTCAGGCAGCTCTTCTGTAAACTGGCACTTCAACAAGGGGCTGCTTGAACACAAAGTTATTTTCTTACTCTGTACCACTGGGGTTTCTGCATCTCTTTTGGCTCCCGTTGTGTGGTGAGGATAAGGCAGGCTCTTAAGGCAGAGACAGCTCCCTCTCGGATGGCCTGCTTGGGATCCCACACAGCCACAAATATATTGTCAAAGAATGGCTGCACTTGCTGGAAGAAGAAGGTGGGCACGCTGATGGCCAGCTCCCGCAGGACAAGGACCTGCACGGGGGGAGGGAAACAGTAACAATCTGAAAGATGAGCACACAGAGACAAACCTCATAACTTTCACAGTGCAGTACCATTGTTTAGACTGAAAATGTCTGTGAGCTTTTCCATCCCCACACTCTGACATAACAGTGTCATGCTCTTCATTAATCGCTGGGTTAATGGAGAAGCAATGAAGCAGCACTCTGTCTGCCATGAGGGCATTACAGATTCTCAAATATGGACTGGCAACCATTCCCACTCTGACCAAAGCTTTTCTGCAGATTTCTGTGCATGTTTCCTACCACTGTTCACTAACCCCAACTATTTGATGACAACAAAAAAAGGCATCACTTACAGCTGCATGTCTACGACCTTCATTCCTGTCAGCTCCCAGCCACTCCAGAGCTCGTTTCACCTCAAACTCCACATACTCAGCTGTGAAGGTGTCACCAGCCATTGCGAGCCTCCCAATAGCCTTGGAAGCCATCTCCATCACAACAGGGTCATTGGATGGCAGGAGGTTCCTCAGGTAGTTGGCAAACCTGCCGATACGGGTGGCATTACCTCCTTCAACACCGATAAGACTCGCTGCAGAGAAAGGGAGCAACGCTGCAGTTTGCATGTGCTGCAGTTCTCCCCAAGAGTCACTGAGGCAGACGGTGGGTAACCCCTGGATGACAGCTGGTATTCCTTAAAGCCTCCCATTAAGCCCCCCTAAATTACAAATCCACACAAAAAAATAAAAAAATCAAGCACAGGAAAGGGCCACCATTCGTAAAAACCTGAACTTTTTAAGTGAGTGGAAAAACGCACCTGGTAGCCTCATAAATTTCACAATTTTTAGTTTTAGAAGAGGAAAAAATAATTCACCCTGGGATCACAGAACTGTACCTAATAGAAAGACATCCATCTGCATGCAACTGCTGTAGCTAGTCCACCTCACAAGAAAAGTCAAAGACTGAACAGCCCAAGGAAATGCTCTGTTCCTCAGTGCTAGAGACAGTCTCTCCTGGAGAGGGTGGAGGCAATTCATCACACACCAGCATGGCAGAAGCTTTCATTGCCAGTGCCTGGGCTGTATCTGTTTTGTAGAAAAAGTGTCCAGGGTTGTCTAGCTGGCACCTTTCAACATCACTAAATTCACAAAACAATTTGAATGCGATACTGTCAGCTTAAAAACTGATGTTATCAATAAAGATTCCTCTAAGGGATTTACACTGCCTTCAAACACATTGGGACTGGAGGATTCTGTCTATGAGCCTAAACCATAAACATCTCTTCGGCTATTTAAGAAGTAACTGCTACAATACAGGCTGCTCCCAAAGTATTTCTGCAAGCTGACTTCCCCAAGAGTGGGGATTCAGGCAGCTCTGCAATCTCAGAGCACACAGCCAGAGCCACTAATGGAGAGGCTGATCAGAATCAAAGCAGAAGCTCTCTGAGCCCCTCTTGGGGATGGAAGTTGACAGGTAAATTTAAATAACAAGAATCTCTCCAGATGGAAGATAGTTGAGAAAGTCAGCCTACCCTGAAACATATAAAGGGGCAGCACAAGGTGCTCTCAGCTGAGCTCCAGAACAGAATTTTCATGTGCTCAGCATTCATATTTGATGCTCAAGTCCCAGAAGAGCTCAGGGCCCATTAAATACCAGGTTCTCAGCCACTCTCAGTAGCTCCCCTGCAGACACTTCACACAGATTTTCAGAGCCAGCAACCAGAACACACCCAGCATCCTGAGCTGTCAGACATCAGGCCCCAACTATAAAAGCTCATTCCTTTTGAAAATCTGTCCCTAAAGGTAGCTGCATGAAGAGAAAACTCAGCAGAAGCATTATGCACTTTCACTTACCTATAGCCAGAATGCCACCCTTCCTTTCATTTGCATCAGAGCTGGAGACCAGCTCAAATATGTGATGGTTCAGCTGATCATAAAACCTGGTAGATTCTTCCTGACTCATCTGTAAAAGCAAAGAGTTCAAATCAGCTTTCAGCATTGTCTCCCTCCCTCCTGCTCCAAAACCTCCATAAAGACAATGCTTCTTATGCCATTTAAACAGAAAGAAATTAAATCAAAATACATTACAAGCTCAAAATAGTTTCTCTTATTTGTAAGCTATATGCAGCAAGTTTACTTATTCTGGTACACCTTTTGTGTCACCAACTTGCTCACCTCTCCTACACGCCAGGGGGCAGAGATAAGCTCTCTGTGTGCCCCTCTCCTCCCTAAGACCAGCTTCCATCTTCCAAAAATCTCCATTTCCAAGGCACCCAGCCCATTCCTCTCCACAAGGATAAATAATTCCACTTGCAGCACCCACCTCACGCAGCTCCATGGTGACATAATGCTGCAGGTCCTTGGCAGCTTTGGCCCTCGTCTCCTCGCTGCGACTCTTCAAGCCATTGGCAAATTGTTGGAGGATGGACACAGTACCCGACATGGTGGCACTGTGCTGGGGCTCAGGGGCATCAAGTCCTGTAAATTCTTCAGAGAGACACGTTTCTTACTGCTTGAATTGAAATCTCTGAGCTTCTTTCTTAAGGCTGTCCCTCCTGACTGTTCCCAAAATACCCATAAAGATGCTGTGTTGGTAACTATAAAATTAAAAGTAATGGCTGTATTCTTTAGGCATTACACTCCATGATAAAACTGTATCATCTCATATCATGACCCCCAGCCTATTTGCTCTCTAGCTCCTCAAATACCAAAATACATCACAGTAGGCCAGGTCCCCTAGGGTGATTTAATCCTAAATCAAGGGTAATGCAACAGTTGAAAACCAGCAGGGTTTGTAATCACCTATAATAAGTAAGCACAACCATTCCCAGGATTATATCACTATCATATGCCCTCCCTGAACACTTCCATCCAAGTTTCTTCACAGAAACCTCAGTGTGACACCAACACAAGGAAGGCTCAGCATTGGCAAGTGTTACATCCTCCAGCAGATATTTAGAGATGGGAAGTCCAGTTATAGCAACGCCAATCATTGCAACACGGGGGTTCCTAGCATAACACACAAACTTTCTCAGCAGCCTTTCTTTATATCAAAAACATTTCAGATGCCTGACGCTCTCCCTCCCCCCGATATTCAGATTACACAAGACCAAAGCAAGCACTAACACCAGAACTACAACTGCTTCTCCCCAAATACTCCACACACGATCACAGCCATCCAGCGGGACCATGGGCGAGCTGGCGGCTGGCAGGAGCCCCAGCAGAGGCTCCCCGAATCAAAGAGCAGCTGGGGGGTGCTGCTGCCCATTAACCCAGCCCGGGGCAGTTCCTGGGGTTCCCTCAGGGCCACAGAGCGCAGCGGGCGGGACGCGGCAGGCCCGAGTGCGGGGGGAGCCCCGCAGGCCGAGCGTGAGGGAGGGGTGAGGCGGGGCAAGGCGGGCACGGCCGCGCGGCCGGGAGCTCGGGCAGGGCGGGGAGCGGGAGATGAGGGGAAGGGGAGCCGATGATGATGAGAGGCACCGCCGCCCTCACTCACCCGCCGCCGCCTCCCCTACTCCGGGCCCCGGGCCCCGTGCCTGCCCCGCCGCCGCGCCTGCAGCGCCGGCGAGCCGCGGCTGGCCAATGGGATCCCGGGAATGCCGTGATCGGCATCACATCTGACCAATAGAAAAGGGGAAAGGGGGAAAAAGTGCTGGAAGCTCCGCCCCTTCCCCAAGGAACTGCAAGGACAGTCGGGTTTTGACCAATCATCAAGGCAGTAGTGACTGAGTGGCAGTGTATCTGACCAATAGAATGGCTGGGTTTACTCAGTAGGCCCGCCCCCCCGATGCCGGCTTCCGCCCTTCCGTGAAGTGCCGGCTATGGCCGGGCTGCAGCATGGGTATAGGGTAGAACAAGCGGCATCATCTGCTTGAGCTTGGCACTGTTCCGCGTGACATCCTGGTCTTAAACCGGGGAGACACGGATTTGATGATAGACCACTCGTTGGATAAAGAACTGGCTGGATAGCCGCACGTAAAGAGTTGCGGTCGGCGGCGCATTGTCCGCATCGAGACCAGGGACGAGCGGTGTCCCTCAGGGGTGGCACTGGGGCTGATAGTATCCATCAACTTCGTCAGCGACAATGGGATTGAGGGTCCCTCAGCAAGTGACACCGAGCTGTTATGGAAGAAGAGACGGTTGTGTGGAGATCTCAGAGCAGCCTCTGGAGGGGCATAGAAGGAGGGGCTCTTAACCAGGAACAAGGGGGAATGGGTTCAGACTAGAAGAGAAGAAATGTAGGAAAATGTTTGGGGAGATCCTGGCATAAGTTGCCCAGAGAAGCTGTGACTGCCCCATCCATGGAAGTGTCCAAGGCCATGTAGGAGCAGCCTGAGCCAGCGGAAGGTGTTCCTGCCATGGCAGGGGCTGAAGCGAGAGGAGCTTTAAGGCTTTAAGGTCCTTCCCAGCAGAAGCCATGCTACGGTGTGAGCCCAGCGCATGCGCACAGGGAGCAAGGCGCCGCCGTGCCCGGTGTGCTCCGCTGAAATGTGTCCGGTCGTGCCCCTGACAGCGGCCATGGCGGCGTCTGTGCCAGGCTTCGGGCGCTCCGCGGCGGCTCTGACATGAATCGTGGTGCGTGCTGCGGCGTGAGCCCTTCGCCGCCGCGCATGTCGCCGTGCGCCGCTTCATTTTCCTTTTAATTTGTCCACCGGGAAGTGCCGGCAGGTGCGGAACTCTTCACACACGGCCGCGGGGGTGGCGAGGCCGGGAGGGCTGGCGGTCTCGCACGGCGGGTAATGGCGGCGCCCTGGCGTCTCCCTCAGGCCGCCATAGCGGCGGCGCCCCCGGCTCCCCCCGGGCCCCGCTAACGCGCGGCCCCTCCCCTTCCAGGTGCTGCTGCTGCGAGACGGCGGGGCGAGCATGGGACCGGCAGAGCTGGTGCAGAAGATCAGTATCAGCGCCGAGAGCCCACGCGGGAGCGAGAGCGGCGGCGCGGCCTTGGCGGGCGCTGACGGGGCCGCCGGCGGCAGCTGGAGACACAAGTGCGCGGCTTATGTGCTGGCGCTCCGGCCGTGGAGCTTCAGCGCCTCGCTCACCCCCGTGGCGCTGGGCAGCGCCCTGGCGTACCGGGCTGAGGGAGCGCTGGACCCGGGGCTGCTGCTGGGGAGCGCCGTGACCGTGCTGGCTGTGCACGGGGCCGGTAACCTGGTGAATACCTACTATGACTTTTCCAAAGGCATCGATCACAAGAAGAGTGATGACAGGACGTTGGTGGACCAGATTTTGGAGCCGCAGGATGTAGTGCGGTTTGGAGTCTTTCTCTACACCGTGGGCTGTATCTGCGCTGCTGGGCTCTACGCGGTCTCGACGCTCAAGCTGGAGCACCTGGCCCTGATTTACTTTGGAGGACTTTCCAGCTCCTTCCTTTATACTGGAGGTGAGTGCTGCACCCCGCTTCTTGTGAATCTGAATGTAGAAGTGATATAATCAGCTGAATTGTCGAGAGGTTTCTAGAAGACACACGTGATCTATCTAGTGGAATAAAATATTTGTGGTATTTCCTGAAGTGCTGGTATGTAAACTTGTATTCTTTACAATTGAACTTTGTGGGAAGAGTTATACCAAGATATTCAGTTGGATAGTGGTGTTGAGGCATTATTGTTTACCTGTATGGCTTTAGATATTTACCAGAACAGTTGCTGAGTCTTTCTGTCAAGTTTATCACATACCCTTTAGCAGTGTAGCTAATGGCACATTTTCTTTCCTTTAAGTGGGAATGTTACTTTGTTTTGGAATGTTTCATTGTTATTCTTTAGATGGAGCTTCACTGTGAATGCTTTATAGTACAGTTTGTGATTCTTCTTAATAAGACAGGGATATTTTAGTGTCTTCCTGTGTTGGATAGATACAAACATCATTAGTAGGAGAAGGAAAAGCAACTCAGTTTCTAACTGTCAGACTTTCAGATATGTGCATTTCCCTGAAAGCATCTTGCCAGTTTTGCATTACATTTTGAGCATTTTCTGTATTTCTTCAGGATCAGTTTCTAGTTTGCATGATCATAGTGAAAAGTACCTTATTTCTAAAGGTTTCTGCAGAGACAGGTATTTCTAGGTGGGTATTAAAACCTGGCCTATTGTATTTGCTGGGAAACCCAGATGAAGACAGGAATGATGAATCTGACTCCATGTTCTTAGAAGGCTAATTTATTACTTTATAATACTGTATTATACTTAAGAATACAGAAAAGATACTTTAAGGTTTTTCCTAAATAATGATACTTACTGAATGCTAAAAAGATAATAATGAAAACTCGTGACTCTTCCCAGAGTCCTGACACAGCTTGGCTGTAATGGGCCAAAGAGTCAAAACAACTCACACCAAAATCCAATGAAACAATCACCTGTGGGTAAACAATCTCCAAACACATTCCACATAGGAGAAGCAAATGAAATAAGGATTGAGGATTCTCAGCTTCCCAGGAGAAAAATTCTGGGCAAATGGATTTTTTCAGAGAATGTGAATGCCACAGCGGCCCTCAGTTTTTGTTACATTGTTTGTCTGGAGAAATTCTTATCTTAGAAATAACATGTTTCTTGTCCATAGCTACATGTGTTTTGTTTGTTTTGTAGTATTCCTATGGGAAAGGCTGAACTGTTATGTGATCCATTCTCTTCTGTCATTTGAATTCTTTAACAGTGCTTGATTTTATTCTTGTCTTGCCACAGGAATTGGATTTAAATACGTTGCCCTCGGTGATGTGGTGATCCTGATCACCTTTGGGCCCCTGGCTGTGGAGTTTGCCCATGCAGTGCAGGTTGGTTACCTGTCCCTGACCCCCCTGCTCTACGCTGTCCCCCTGGCCCTCAGCACTGAGGCCATCCTGCACAGCAACAACACCCGGGACATGGAGTCAGACCGGCAGGCTGGGATTGTCACCTTGGCCATCCTCATCGGCCCCACCTTCTCCTACATGCTCTACACTGTGCTGCTCTTCCTGCCCTACCTGATTTTCTGTGTGCTGGCCACACGTTACACCATCAGCATGGCGCTGCCCCTGCTCACCATCCCCATGGCATTCTCACTGGAGAGACAGTTCCGCAGCCAGAACTTCAACAAAATTCCTCAGAGGACAGCCAAACTCAATCTGCTGCTGGGCCTTTTCTATGTTTTTGGCATTACATTGGCACCAGCTGGAGCTCTGCCCAAACTGTGAAAAGAGCTGTAGGGTGAGGCTTCATGATTCACTCTTCATGCCAGTTAACATGGATGTTATGAATAAATGGCTCATTATGGGCAGTGAGAAGAATGGAAACGCCACCTTGAACTGTTGGTAGTGAATGTTATGATTTCTGGTGTTGGATAGCTTATACAACACAGCTTATACTGTCAAAAAAGTGATTTATCAGTTCTGCAGAAGGGGAGAACTGTGTGGCTTTGCTTTGAGGAACAAGGTGACATAAGGTCAAGGAAATGTTTAAAGAACCTCATCCTTCTGCCACCTAAGTCAGTTCAATGAAAGATAGAGCCTCAAATCACACTCTCCATTCACTTCACAAGCACAATGATTCCTCTTATCACTTTTATTTTTATAGTGGTGAAGGAGTCCAGTGGCTCCCATATGGGAATCAGAAAACACTGCCAAATGTTTAGTATCACAACGTAGGTGCCATTAATTCACTCTCTTGTGAGTGTATTTCATCCTTATCTGTAGTATGTTTTAAGTTTTGTTTTGCTTTTCCTGGCCAAATTTTGAGCTTTTATTTCCAAGCCCCTTGAAATGCACTAGATACTGATTCATGAACTATTGCTTCTGCTTGTCCCATACAGTCTAGAAATGTCAAAGTTATAAATCTCTGTGGGTTGTAGTGCTAAAATGGAGCATGAATAGCCCACTGCACAAACTTTAGGCCGAAACCAGTAAATCTGTATTCTGCTACAAAAGCTGAAGCTGTAAATGCAAACCATGCAACTGGAAAGCCTTTAATGGGTACAAAACCAAATGGTTTCCATTTTTGTATTTGCTTAGAATTTATTTTCTGAAATGACAGTTTTTGAGTTAGGGGGAGCTGACAGAGTGCCAAATTTCTCTGAATAGCTATGGATTAATGGATACATAGGTGGAAAACAAATTCCTGATGTTAAAATAGCTTTTTTTTTTTTCCAATTTGTTTTTCTCTGTTTATTTAGAGTATTATTCATAGTCTTGTTATTAGAAGCCTGGTTCACCAAAGAAGAAAGATATATTGCCAGAAAAAACAAATCTGGATTATTGCATTGGCTCTGCATAAAAATTAGGACTGGAAATAGGAATAAACCAAATTTGTTAATAAGATTTTCCTAATGGAGTCCAGAGTTTGTGTCACCAGAGTTTGAATCACAGTTAAGTGATCTCAGAAGGGAAGTTCCCCACTCTATACCTTACAGCATTGCTCTGTTTTCTCCTGTAGATCTTGCCACTTGCTGTTCTTGTGGCCCTTTGCAGAGCTGATTGCTGCAGCAGCTTTGCAGCTGTGTGAGAAACATGCCAAACACAATGGGGAAAATATGTGCCTTCCAGTGCAAAGCTGGATTTGATCCACACCATATTACTTAGTGGCAACTGAATTCTCTTCTGTGTTATTTAGTACCTGTGCACAGATTTTCCTGAAAAGCTTCTTTGCAGGAGCTGTGATAAGCTCAGAGGGATTGACCCAGGTGTTGAACTAGAGCTGGTGCCAGTCACAGCCTTGCTTTTGAACAACTGTGTGAATCTTTTACACAGGAGCAATAAAGTAGCAATAAACTCACATGGATCTGTCACAGGTAAGTTATGTCCTCGTGGTGTAAATCTGAAAGAGCCAAGTGTGCCATCAGTGGGTTGTACTGGCAGCTGTGAAGCTGAGTTGATGGTACCACATTACATGGCACAGCTATTTAGAGATTCATTTTATGGCTTCATGTTACCCAGCAGTTATACCTGAGCTGAAGTTAATGGGGAGGAGCCTTTGCAGGCCTATTTAATGCGCCACACTTTCATCTTTTATTTATTACAATGGGCAGATGATCTCTCTAATCTGGCTAGGCACTGGACAAGAAGAGATGCACTTCAGCAGCTGCTTGCTACAGGAAAAATACTTGTTAGGATTAAAAACACAAGGAGAAGATGCAAGAGTTCAGCTCAGATGGAGGGAGATATCCAGAAGGTTTGGAAACTATTCAATGCAGATATACACAACAAGAGTTTGTACTGTTGCTTCTTTGTGGACCTACAGAATGAAGAAGAACCAAGCTCCAATATCCATTTCACATTTCTGCAAACCAAAAGCTTTTGTAGGGATAAGTAAGGGCTGAGCTGACAAATCTGTTAACCTTGCAATTGGGGATATTCAAGTTTATTGGGTTAATCCTGCCCTTTGTAGCAGCTGTGTGCTTCATTTTAGGATAACTTGGTTTTTAATAGCTTTCCATTTCAAAGAATGGTTAGTTATCTTTACTTTTTTTACAAAAACTAGAGCACTCCAGCTAAATTCCTTAAAGTAACTTGGCTTATATCTTTGATAACTATAATTGTAATAATGGGAAGATCATTGGAGTATGTAACTCTTACGGTATCTTGACTACCCTTTCTTGGGTAGGATGTCTACTTAGGGCTGAAAAGGACCAGTGCTTTTTGTTACTAAGATGAAACAGCTCATTACTACAAAAATCTGTGTGTGGAACACATTCTGAGGTAGGGGGAATTAAAAGTAATAGTAAAACTGAGATGAAAATTTGGTAATTTCTTACTAGCAGATGATGGTTGCCTCCAATTCCCTCACTTTGGAAAACAGTATCATTCCAGGTTCTTGAGGATATTAGTAATAACTAGCACATTCTTCACCATGGTTTTGATGAAGTCATTTAACTTCTCTGTGTCTCAGAAAACAGCTGATTTTTGCCTAACTTACAGGGTTGCTGAGCTGACATCATTGTCCTAAAGACCTTTGAAAGTAAAAAGTGTTTTATCTCTGTGCTTTCCAAAAGGCTTGTTAGTACTAGAAAACATTTTAGATACAAACTAACATAAAGGGTGACTTAACCAATGTAATTAGGCCAAAATAATCTTCACATATAATCAGTGAGTGGTAAGAGAAGTTCATTTATTGGCTTGTTTTGTGATGAAGATGCTGGGTCTCTTCCCCTGCCCCACTTTTCCCTGTCCCATGCTACTTTCCCTGAATATAAACTTTAGAAGCTTCTTTCAGGTCACTCTTGATGAGCTGTATTGCAGTGTGATGAATGTGCACTGGTAGATGAACTGATCTGTAGCCCATCTGTTAATGTGTTCTAAAGCACCTCCCGGCCTTTCTTCTTACCCAATAAACTGTCTGAATGTTACTCAATTATGCTATGTTTGATTCTTTTATATTACTCAAGTTGTATTTTTGCACATGGATTAAAACATGGTCACAAAAGAAAGAAGGTCTTCATCTGTGTCTTGGTTTGGAAAGACAGGTGTGTGCTGAGGAAGGCAGGAGCCTCCCCTAAAATGGAAAATGTAAACCCCCTCCTTCTGAATTGCTATAAATTTGAAATTAAGGGGCTCTCAGGCAAAGATATGGGAGCGGGAAATAACAGTTCTTTATTAGGGAAGAAAATAAAAATAAACAATGCAGTAAAACGAAACAGCACTGACAGAGTCAGAACCCAACCTGACACCCTGTGGGTCAGGCTGTTGGCAGCAGTCCCATTGGAATTGTGGCTCAGCCCTCCTGCAGTGTCAGGGCTGGTTCTGCTGGAGCAGGGATCCTGGAGAAAGGTGCAGTCTCTGCCTCTGAAGATCCAGGGGCAGAGGCAGCTGCTGTTCCTCTGGGGAATCCAGTGGAGAAGCTGTGCTGGTGTTCCAGAATGTCCAGATTATATCCAGGTAGGAATGCTTGGCTCCTCCTTCTGGGCTCACATCTCCCAGTGGGATGCTGCAGTTCTTATCAGCCATGGAGGGACATTCAATAGTCTGTTATCAGCAGATGTCTGCCTGGAGGGAGGATTGGTTTGTGGAAGAGATAAAGAAAACTGCCCAATGAACAGAAGATAACTGCCCCACCTCTAACACATGGCAAATACAATACACAATGCCTTGCAATCTAGGACAATCTGCCATTTTTATAGTGGAAGTGCCTGAAAAATCATACTTTTTTTTTTGTGTGAAAGTCCTTTTATGAATCACATAGTCCTGTCCTTCCCTATCCAGGCAAACAGTTCTGTAGCAGTGATCATTTCCTACTAACGGGAGGCTTAGAATAATTCTAGTATATTAATCAATGTGCAGAATTCTCTCTGATGCAGTTTTCTGTGCCATGTACTGTTCAGTATTTGTGAGGAGATTTCAGCTGGACTTTAATACCTTTAATAAAGATGAATTTTTTTATCCTCACCAGTATGTTCTGCCAGTTTTTATGCTATGGTCACTGCTCCATACAACTGTGACAGCATAATGCCTCCCCCATGTGTGTCATAAATGAGCTTGAAACTTTCCTGCCTTGGCCAGTGGCACACTGTGCTTCACAAACACATTTAGAGATTGTTATAAAGGATAAAATGCAAGATTGTATGACATCCAAATAAGGAAGCTTCAATTTAGAGTGTCTGCAGATGGCAGTGTTGCTCTTCCATTGCTGCTGCAGAGCCTTTTCTCTACAGGAGCCTGTGAGCTGTGTTTGCAAAGGATTTTTTAGTGTTGGGTTGTAGGTCATTGGGTCTCCTCTAATGTAAGGGAACTTGAAAGATAAGTGGCTGCAGGTGAATTTCTGTCGTGCAGATTATGACTGGACAGATTCTCCTGGCCTAGGCAGGTACTGGCAGAAATGGGCATTTGAAGAAAGCCAGTCAACTCTTAAATTTTAAAGTCTTTGCTGGTGGATTAATAAGCTTAATAAGGCTTAATACTCTTTCTGGTCAGATGAGGGCTAGGTTTCCAAAAGAGTGTGGGCAAGCTATGTGTGAGGCTCAGTATACTTGTGGGGCACAGAATGCCATGTCTGCACACTTTATGAAAAGTGCTTCTGTTCAGTCAATTGCTTTTAACGTGTCTTGAATCCCCAGTGAAAAATCTGAATATTTTATAGTGCTTTTAGTAAAATCAATGGCATTGCCTAAAAATGTGGAAGTTTAATGAAGCTCAGCAGGGCTGGATTATTGCAGCTTTATGTCTAAAGGAAACAGGCTCATTGCTGGACAGAATCATGCCCATGTTTTATTGTCTGAAACAAGGTTTTTGTGCTTTTCTGAACTCAGAGTAAGACTCAAAATGAACTAATTTGTCATGAGATTTTTTTACACTGTCTTCTGATGATAACTCTTAATGATGTCACTGTTTATTCTTGTTGCATCTGAGGAAAACTTGTGTTCTAATCCAGATATTTCAGTGGCCACAAGGATTTGTATTAATGACAAAAACTTAAAGGACCTAGTGAAGCATTCATTTGGGGTCAGCTGAGAGAGTGTGAGTTGCTCCAACATTTATCTCACTGATCTGCAGG